AGTGGCTATCGGCGACAGAGCGGTCCTCGAGCGGGGTGCGGCCGCTGCGGAATTCGAGGGCGTGGTGCAGACAAGCTCAGGAGCGCCCCGTGCCGTGGACTATCAGCACCAGCGCACGAAACCGACAAGCTCCTGATAGCGAAGAAGAAGAAGAACAAAAACAATGACAAGAACAAGAACAAAGTGAAGAAAGACACCGTGTCCAGCAGGCACGCGAGCAGTGCACAGTGCGCAGGCAAAACAGCCGCCCGCGCGCGGGGGGGCAGCACGAAACGGCGCAGCCGCGGGACAGGCTGTAGTCCCGCGCTGATCGCCTTCACGCGCTCGCCGGGATGTCAGCAACATTAATCCTCATCCTTTTCCTCCTCCTCCTCCTTGTCCTCTTCCCTCCCTCCCTCCCTCCCTCCCTCCCTCCCTCCCTCCCTCCCTCTTCTCCCTCCTCCTCCTCCTCCTCCTCCTCTCCGCTCCTCCTCCGCGTCCTCCTCCCTCCCCTCCTCCTCCTCCTTCCTACTCCTCCTCCTCCCTCCTCCCCCTTCCTCCTTGCTCCCTCCTCATCCTCCTCCTCCTCCTCTCCTCCTCCTCATCCTCCTCCTCCTCCTCCAGCTCCTCCCCCTGCTCACCGCCTGCTCCCCCCCTCCCCCTCCTCCTCCTCCTCTCATCCTCATCTCCTCTCTCCTCCTCCTCCTCCTCTCATCATCCCTCATCATCATTCATCATCATCATCAGCATCGCATCATCATCATAATCATCATCATCATCATTCATCATCATCATCATCTTCATTATCATCATCATCATCACTATCATCAGCAATCATCATCAGCATCATCATCATTCATCATCATCATCATCATCCGAATCAGCATCAGCATCATCAGCATCAGCATCAGCATCAGCATCAGCATCAGCATCGGCACCAGCATCATCATCAGCATCATCATCATCATCATCAGCATCATCATCATCATCATCATCATAAGCATCATCAGCATCATCATCATCATCATCATCATCATCAGCATCATCATGATCACAATCAGGGTACGTATGTTGGTAATAGTCGTCTTCAAACTCCCTTCCCTCCTCCTCCTCCTCCTCCTCCTCCTCCTCCTCCTCCTCCTCCTCTTCCCCCTCCCCCTCCAACTCCTCCTCCTCCTCTTCCTCCTCCTCCTCCTCCATCCTCCTCCATCCTCCTCCATCCTCCTCCATCCTCCTCCTCCTCCTACTCCTCGTCCTTCTCCTCCTCCTCCTCCTCTTCCTCCTCCTCCGCCTCCTCCTCCTCCTCTTCCTCCTCCTCCTCCTTCCATTTCTCCTCGTCCACCTCCTCCTCCTCCTCCTGCTCCTCTTCATCCTCCTCCTCCACCTCCTCCTGCTGTTCCTCCTCCTCCTGCCTCTCCCCCTCCTCGTCCTCCTCCTTCTCCTCCTCCTCCGCCTCCTCCTCCTCTTCGTGTTCTTCTTCGTAGTAATAGTAACATCATGCTTGTTCTTAGTGTTCACAACATTCTTTGTAGTCTTCGAATTATTAGTAGACTTATTCGTATTGACTGTTACTAGAATTAATATTAGTAATATCAGAATTCTGAACCGTATCATCAGTCATATTCGTAGCACTAATAATACGTATTAGCAGTGCCATTGCAAGTCCTACGAATGCTGTTAGTATTAGTATTCGTACGTAAGTACTGATAGGATTGGTATTATAATATTACTGTCATATTCATAAGATTACGAGTAGTATCAATAAATCAATAGTAGTGTTAGTCGTAGTAGTGGTGCTAGTAGTACTATTAGTACGAATGGTTTTGTTATAAGTACTGCTAGTATCGTTCGCAGTCTGAGTTGTACTACTATTATTAGTAGTAGGAGCAGTGGTGTTAGTCAGTCGTATTCCTAATAGTCTTACCAGTGGTATGAGTCTTCCTCGTAGTGTTATTATTAGTATGTTTAGTTATAGTAGTCGCATTCGCTTGCTTATTCTTCGTAGTCGTCTTCATACTACTGCGGCAATTACAAATATTATGTTTTGTCTGATTAGTAATAGTACCCATCTTCGTCGCAATAGTAATATTATGTTGAGTCATCGTTTCGTATTGACATTAGTATGCTTCTTAGTAACACTATAATTAGTTCCATCATTGTTATTATTAGTACCCGTCGAATGTTTACCCTTATCACTCAGATTAAGTCACATTGGTATGATTGGTATCCATATTCGTCTTCTTCTTAGTAAATGTATTACTATTCTGTTTCGTATTATAATTAGTTGTATTATTATGGTTGGTCGTATTGCGCTTCGTCGTATCATTATTCATATTGTTATTCGGCGTAGCATGTTTTATACTGCTGCGTATTATGACTCGTATGTTTATTCGTCTTATGATCATCATAAGTACTATTCGTCTTCTTAGTCATCGTAGTATGCTTATTATTCTTAGTATTATCAGTAGTATGATTAGTCTTCCTGTTACTAATAGTGCGTGTACTCCTCATGTTCGTCTTATTCGTTTCATTCTTAGTTTTCGAACTAATATGATTCTAAGTAGTACAAGTATTATTATTAGTCTGCGCCTTCTTCTTATTGCGTTAGTATTCTTAGTCTGAGGTGTTCCTCCGCCTGTTCCTCCTCCTTGTCTTCTTCCTCCTCCTCCTCCTCCTTTTCCTCCTCCTCCTATTCTTCCTCCTTCCCTTCATTTTACGTATGTTATTTCCTCCTCTTCCTCCTTTCCTCCTCCTCCTCCTCCTCCTCCTCCTCCTCCTCCTCCTCCTCCTCCTCCTCCTCCTCCTCCTCCTCCCCTCCTCCTTCTCATCCCCCGAACCACGATGCGCACGATGCGCGAAGATCGCGTCCAGAAATTGTTCGGGGCCAATCCGCGCGGGGGCGGCCCCATCCGCGACGCGCGGGCGAGCCTTGAAGCCCAACGGTCGAAGGCTTGAAAACAACGCGCACACGATGGCGATTGCTCCGCCGCGCGATGCTCATACACAGGACTAGTTGGCGCTCGAATATTACACTGGTAAACTTGATTTGCCGCGCCTGGCTGAATACAGTGCTATTGGCAAACCAGCCTGTGCACAGCGGCCGAACGTGCCAAATCCGTCTACGTCAAGGCCAATTATGAGATTGGCCCGGCAGGCACGGCAGAGGAGGATGATCCGCAGTCAAGCTCACCGAGACGTGCATGGCGGCTCCCAGCGGCAAGAATCCAAGCCACGGAGAATTGTTGTTCCGCCAGCAGCGAAGCAAACTGGCTGCACCAGCGATAGAGCTAAACGGGGACACCGAGAAGCGAATTGACCAAATGCAGGAAAGGGGAAGCTGCAGAGAAACAATCGGAGAAAGGGCATCCACCGCGAAACGAGGACGACTTCCTCGGAGTGCCCGTGCGGCAGCAGGGTTCGGGATGCAGCTATGCCGGGCGCAACGCCAGTGGAGCCGTGGAGGCCGAGCGGCCTCGATCGAGAAGCTGGCCATAACGAGAGATGAGGACAAGGGCAGCACGACAATCTGTCGGATACACTTGTTGTCCGTCGGCGGCGAGGCAGAATGGCTGCACCAGAGATAAAGCTAAACAGGGACACCGAGAAGCGAATTGCCCAGCATGCAGGAGAGGGAAAAAGACGGACAGGGCGGCCACGGAGGAGGAAGGAGAAGGGGGCACTCAACCTGTCGGCTGCACGCAAGAGCGCGCGTGGGTAAAAGTGACCTTTGGTGCGCGAGTGTTGGGGGCGCCGCAGGGGGGCCAAACATGGGCGCGCAAACGCTGTTATCGCAACCGCGTTCGGCGATCGGGGTCCCCGGTGGGCCCGCACTAAAGGTTACTCTGGCGAAGGGTCATTCTTACAGGTAGTCGAATATGATGCCGCTGGCTCCTGCCCGAATGCGAGTGCAGCAAGTGGGGCCTTCGGTGGAGCTCCCTATGTGGCCACGAAACGCTGTACTGCATGGAGGAAACGCATGCGAGTGCAGCCACTGGGGCCTTCGGTGGAGCTCCCTATGGGGCCCGGGCCACTGGGACCTTTTTCCTCCTATGGGGCGTGCTGGGTGGGGGAACCGCATACGAGTTCTACCTCTGGGACCTTCGGTGGAACTCCCTATGGGGCCACGAAACGCTGTACTAAGTGGAGGAAACGCATGCGATTACCGCCACTGGGACCTTCGGTGGAGCTCCCCATGGGGCCACGAAACGTGTGAGGGGTGTGCCGACATGGGCGGGGGGGACGCATGGATGAAGATTACGGCATGATGGGACGATGATGGAGGAGGAGGAAGAGGAGGAGGAGGGGGAGGATTAGAGGAGGAGAGGAGGAGGATGAGGAGGAGGAGGAGGAACGCGGGGCGCTGTCTTTTCAAAACGAGGGTTCAACACCACAGGATGGTTGGGAAAAAGGGGAAAGGGAAAAAAAGAAAGGGGCAGCTAGCCGGAGGAACCCGACGGAGTGGGGGAGGGCGGCGCGCGCGGGCGCCTAGCCGTACCCATCCCACTGGCGGGAGCTGATGGGTAGACGACTGGGCGCCCTCGGATCGCGCTCAGAGCTGCCGTGGGGGCAAATTGTTTCGGGAAGGGGGGGCTGGGACGGGGAAGGGGTCCTCGATCTGGCCAGCCCGCAACCCTCCTCCTCCCTCGTTCCCTCCCTCCCTCCCTCCCTCCTTCCCTCCCTCCCTCCCTCTCACCCTCCCTCTCTCCTTTCCTCCATCCCTCCCTCCCTCCGTCACTCCCTCCCACCCTCCTCCCTCCTCCCCTCAAGCAATTTGGGCTCACGTTTGGGCCCATCCCCTGGGCTTCCGCGGAGCGCTTGAGGGACTTTGTCCGGTCTACACTGCCAGGATAGAACGTACATCGACGAACGCACGGGATAGCAATGGCTGCGGAGCAGAAGCGTTGGACCCTTGTGACAGTTGCAACAGGTGTGAGTGGCATATTATCTTGCGTCGCCAGAACCTCCTTTGAACTGGATGCAAAGCCAAAGTCAAGTTGTTCCGTCCGAGGAGGCGCGTTCAGTTCGACGAGAGTCAGGATGAGGACGGGTTCTTCGACGCTGACAGCGGCAATGAATCTGAATCTGTACCAGGTCCAGGTCAGCCAGCACCACCAGGCATACTGAGGCGGGCGCCTTCTCCGAACCGCGCAAGCGGCAAGGGCTACAAGGACGGCGGCGACGCGCGGCATCACCTCCGCCAGGCGCTGGCGGCGGTCACCGACCCTGTGGTGAAGAAGGACCTCGAGATGCAGATCGCCAAGCTCAACCTGGCGGCCGACACGGAGCCAGAGCTGGGCGTGGTCGAGGCGTTGCGTCGCGCCGACGGCGCCAAGCGCAATGCTGAACACATACATGAACAAGCTGTTGCGGCAGTACTACGCATACGCAGCAACCTGGCGGCTGCGGAGGGGAAGGAAGCTACGACCGCCATCAATCTGGCCAAGGCCGTGGACGCTCGCAAGGTGGCTGCCCTTGCAGTCACAGAGGCGGAGGGTCTCGGCGGCACACCACTGGCGGCGGAAGCTAGCGAAAAGAAGATACTCAACGCGGAGTGGGACGAGACGTTCTTTGGCAGCATCGACGGTCTCGACGCCACCCCTGAGGAGAAGGCTGCGCTGCTCACGCTCAAGCAGCAGGTCCAAGGGGTGCAGGCCTAGTTCCAGGAGAAGGAGTCAGAGCTGCAGAAGTGGCCCACGGACATGAAGGAGCACCGGCGTATCATAGAGGAGAGGGCTGCGAAGAAGCGCAAGGCGGAGAACGGCAAGAAGCAGCAGGACGAGCAGTCGTCGGCCGAGGTCCCGAAGGCTCATCCCGCAGCTGGAGGAGCAGGAGCCGAGAGTCCCACGGGCCCCGCCGCGGCGTCAGCGGCCGGCCAGGCCACGTCGACGCCCGAGGGCCCCACCGCCAACGTCAACGAGCAGCAGCGCATCGCGGAGGAGGCCAAGAAGTTGTCGGGGGCCAAGTTCGCAGCGGCTGCCATGGCGACCAAGGCCAAAGGCAAAGGCACTGCTGCTTCGGCCTCGGCTGCCGGCGGCGATCATTCACATTGACTAGGGGCACCAGGTCGGTCTCGACCCGCACAAGTCGAGGCACATGGGCAGACAGAAGATCTCACCTGGGTCTTTTATGCTAATATCACCAGTCTGCCTGACAATGGGAAGGCGTGGAAGTTTGTGGAATCCAAGTCCAGAGAGCATTCATATTTCGCCCTGACGGAGACTCATGTTCACTGGAAGTCTGAGATCAGGAATTTTGATAGCAAGAGTCGCCAGCTACGACTCCGATTGCATCACAATGCTGCACGACACTCTGGCAAACTAGTCGGCAAGAACAAGACGGCCCGCTCAAATGAAGGGGGTGAAATCTTCATTGCCCAAGCTCACCTCCAGGCTCGGAAACTGGAGGAAGCGCATGTTGCGTCCAAGCATCTTCGAGACCCGCACCAAACAGCTTTGGATGGGTTTCTACCGATGGCGCTCAATGTTGCAGGTTATTCGCTGGTATTCATCCTACTGTACGGACACCCATCCATTCAGATGCGCGGCAAGAACAGGTTGCGGTTCCAGAGGATCGGAGCCTTGGTCAAGGCGCCGAAGACGCCGTGGGCGCTGCGCGGGGACGTCAACATGACCCCAGACGTTCTCTCCAAGGCGGGCTTCCCTCAGCAGCCGGACGCAGTCATCCGCACTGCGGACGTGGAGGGGGCCTGCAAGCAGAAGAAGGGCAAGCCAGACACCATGATCGACTACCTGGTATGCAGTTGCTCCCCTCTGCCATTCATATGTGACATCCTGCCAGCGCGAGCGGACCCGTGGCGACCTCACCTTGGTTTGGAAATGCGATTCAGGAGTTCAGGACTGCTTTTACAGACACGAGCGCTGAATCTTCCGAGGGAGCTTCCCCAGGCAGCGAGGCCCAAGAAGGAGCCCGCGCCTGACCCCAAGTCATCTCGAGCCAGGCTGGAGCGAGCTGTTGCCCGAGCCTCGGCACAGGAAAACGTTCTCTGATGCATGAAGCATTGTTTGGGGATTGTCACCCGCCTGTTGAGCAGCCTCGAGACCCCAATTTCCCCGACACGGCAGTTGTGTCTAATGAAAGCGAGTGCGAGGCCGCTGATCCTGATTTGGCCCATCTGCTCGACGAGGAAGACCCGTGGGCAGATGAGCTTAACTCTTGTGGTTTGGACCCCGCCCCTTCAACTGCTTTGGAGGCGTCTGCGGGGCTGTCGTCGTCGGGGCCGTCGGTTGACGGTCTGTCTAAGGCCCCTGGGCTCGTCGGGCCCCCCCTCGGGGCTGGCGCGGGGCCCCCTCCTGGCGGTTCGGCCCCAAAGCAGGTGATCGAGGGCATGGGGGGTTCTAAGCAGCGCGCGCAGTCCTTGAGCGCTAGGTCCACGGCGCCCCAGGCCCCCGACCCCCCCCACCTAACTTGGGAGACCCCCCGACACTCACTGATAGTAGCAAGGCGTGCTCGAGATGTGACCCTGATGTGGCGGTCCCTGTCTGCTTTGCCATCCCAGATGAGGTGTGGTCCAACGCCAGGCGTGACGTTGGTTTATGCCCAGTGATCTCACATCGGCCTCGGTGTCGCCACATCTCCGTTCTTCTGTAGCATTTTGGCTTAACCCTGCTGGGTGCTCTCCGGTCTCAAGCTTGCACGCTTCCTGGGCCACAGCGGCCGAGACCAGCATCTTGTCTCATCACGGTCCACAGGCTACCCCTGGGCCTTCGCGCGCAGCGAGGCCCAGTGTCTCAGTTCAGCCGTTGCGTCAGACGCTACATATACGTGAACTGCCACTGCGTGATCAAAGGAGCAAGGCTGACAAAGACCCTACTTGGGACCACTGGTTGGCCATCCTCCAGAACCCGCTCTCTGTCACGGTCGAGAATTCAGCTTTGCACGTTGTGTCATCGAGGAAGATCATGGACAGGGCCCAACGGGCCTCGTTGCATGAGCCACTGCAGGAGTTCAAGAATTGGGTTGCGAATGACAAGTCGTCTCAAGGTATCCTTCATCGGGCGTTGAAGCCCCAGCCGCCCCCGCCACGAGGGATTCTTGTGGGAGCGGAGGTTGTATTTCACCCCAAGGGCCTGATGGGCGTCAAGCAGACGGAGTTATCCAGGTTGTGGGCCCCAGTGCCCATGGACAAACAGCAGTTGATCGAGTCATTTCGCGTCATTCGGGAGGAAGCTGAGTTCAACGAGTTGGCGCCCATCCAAGCAGATGATATGTACGCCACGGCAGCCAAGATGTCGGCCCGAGCGGGTCTTGGAGTGGACATGTTCACTCCAGTGGACTTCCAGAGGCTGCCGCGGAGTGCAATTTCAGAGATGGCAGTGATCCTCCAGTCAATTGAATCTATCTACACTAACTTGGCCAATTCAGTTGACGATGATTCTTTGCAGGTTCATTCCGAAGAAACAGACTGGAGATCGTGTCATCGGTATCCTCACGATGACGGCGAGGCTCTGGTCGCTGCTGCGTGAGCCGCTGGTGGGTCATCTCAGAATATTGCAGCATGGAATGCGGCCGTCGAGGGCAACTCGAGTTTAAGAGAGGCCTACCTCAGGGCCATCGATGAGGAGATGGCGCATTCCATGAATATGAATTTCGGGCACGCCATCATAGATGTGCATCAATTTTAGGATTCTAACCCGTGGGATATGCAAGCAAGAGCAGCCCTCAAGATGGGTTTCCCGCCAGTTATTCTCCACTTGGAACTTGTTCAATGTGTGATGTGCAGGTGCCTCGTTCAGGATGGTGCCTCGTCAGATCTATTTGAGCCAAGTCATAGTATAGTGCAAGGATTACGTCCAGGTACTAGATACGCAAGAATCATGACATATGTCAACATGGATACAGTTACGACATCAAGCCCACATATGGGGTACCGAGTTTGGATTGATGGCATTTCGCAGACAATCACAGGATCGGCTAAGCCAGCCAGGCAAAGCCTCATCAAAGTGATTTTTGACACTGGCAAAGCTTTAGCCAGGAGGAAGCTCAAGATTTTGCCGAAATCGGTTGTTATGTGTACTAAGATGGAGGACGCCACAGCAGTGGCGAGGGCGGTGCGACTCCGTGGTTTCAAAGTGGCTGCGGTGAAACAGTCTACTTATCTGGGTACATATTTCAGCTGCGGCCGCCATGGCCGCGGGCAACGTGTCAAAGAGAATGGCGAGCACAAACAGATGAGCGATAACATCAAGAAGTTCGCGAGGGCCGCCAAGCAGTACCGTCAGGTATCAAAGTTGGAAAAAGTAGGAGCACAACCGGCGGGAGGCTACGACTTCCAGGTGCACGGTATGTTCGGGCAACAACTCACAGAGTGCCGCAGGAGATTGGGAGCATCATGCGCGTCAGCTACCAAGGGTCGCTGTCTCACCACGCTGCTTAACCTGAGGGCAAGCGGCATGGATCCAGCAGTTTCGATGGCGACGCGACCGATCGACCTGTGGCTCTCACTGTGGCAGCCGCACCCGAAATTAAGGAAAAGCATCGCACATGTTTGGCCGTCAGTGGTCGCTAGAATGCAACAACTACCCCCTCGGGAGCAGGCACGTGCTGTTCAGGGGCCTAGTTCAGCGGTGGTCCTTCAGCTTCTGAGGATAGTATGGACCCCTACGTCCCCGTCGGCGTCGTCGTACATCAGCTTGCAGGATACTGAAGAAGAATGGCAATTTCCCGACAGCTGCTACACGGGGGTCAAGGACTTGGACAGCCACGTGGCCCTTCTCCAGGACTTTAAGGAAGCAGCGCACAGGATCCTGTGGCGCAAGGCCAGCCAGCACTATTGTGGATCAGGTATTGAAGATGGTGTCAGCAATGCTTCGCTACGACAGTTGTTGGATCACCTTGCACAGCAGCGGCATGGATAACGTTTATCGGAAGTCATGTTAACTATTGCAACCGGAGGGGCATGGACCGAACAACGCAAGCGGGACACCTTACCTCGGTATTCTGGCGACGGATCGTGTGATCGTTGCCGTCAACATGATGAGACCCCCTTGCATAGATATTGGACATGCCCCAAGAATGTTGGTTCCAAGGCATATTCCTTTTCAGGTTCTCCAGTGCCAAAAGCCATGGCGCAGTCCGACGCTTGTGAGGCGTACTGGCTCCGAGGCTTGCTGCCCCAACATATGGTTGCAATTCCCCCGCCCCCTGATCAACCTAGTTGGTGGTATGCAGGTTTTCGACCAATTGGAGCCAGGTTGTATGGGGCACGGTTCTGACTGCAGCCCCATCTGGATATTTGGAGACGCTAGCGGAGGTCCAGACACCCACTCACCCATCATGCGTAGAGTCGGTATTGCGACCGTACGAATGACCAATCTCCGAGCACCAGAAGCTGCATCTTGCATAGATGGGCCGTTTGACAGGCCCTAGACAAGTTGTGGCTCGAGGAGAGTTGGTCGCTCTTCTCTTGGCCATCACTCACACTAATGGACCTCTCGTGTTCGTCACCGACTGTGATTATGTAGTTGAAGGTTGGTATGCAACCAAGGCAGACAATCCTACAGGCCAGGATGCGGATGTCTGGAATCAGATTGCTCAAGTTTCGAAAGGCAGATAGATTGCAGTTCTTTTCACTCCTTCACATTACACGGCAGAGCAGATGGCAGCAGGACTGGGTTGCAGTGCCTTGATTGTTGGCAACGCAGTGGCCGGCTAGTTGGCAGGCCACGCAGCCAGGTCGGCCAGAGTTCCTGAACGCATACGGGCGCGAGTTGTGCAGGAAGAACATCAGGTATTTCAGATACGCATGCGGTTGCTCAGGGCAACGCTGGACAGTATGGCGGCGACGGACGCCGCGGAGACTGAGGCCAGGAACTTGAGAGGGAAGGCTCCCGCCATCCCCCCCCCCCTCCTCCTCCTCCCTCTGCTAGCGCGGTTGCTGCGTTTCTGTCGGGGCACGTTTTGTCCGAGGACCGCCAGAGATGTCTCAAATGTTTTTGTTCGGCTACGAAAGCCACCATGAAAGCGTGGTGGACCACACAGTGCCCCGAGCTTTATAACGTCGATGGTGTTATGAAGTCTCCTAAGGTGGGGGGACGTATTCATATAGCGGGGGCTTGGGCGCACCAATATCACATCCTTAATGTGCATACGTCCCTGTTTACATGGTTCTGCACTAAGTGTGGAGCCATAGCTGAGAAGCAGAATAAACTTCTTAGCATGCCATGTTCGGGTAGGGTCAACAAGAATCGGCAGGAATACCTCGATCGGAATGCGGCCCACAGGAAGCCGAAAGTCCTCAGCCAGGCCGAGCAGAAGGCCAGGCGGTCGAATGCTATGCAATGCGATGATCATATCACGAACTTGCTTTGCGCAACGGGCTCCACTCCACTCCACACCCTCCTCCCTCCTCCCTCCTCCCTCCCCCCCTCCCTCCTTCCACCCTCCATGCTCCCTCCACCCTCCTCCCTCCTCTCCTCCCTCCTCTCTCCTCCCTCCTCCCTCCACCCTTCACCCTCCTCCCTCCTCTCCTCCCTCCTCTCGTTCTCTCTCCCTCTCTCTCTCTCTCTTCCTCCTCCTCCTCCTCCTCTCCTCCTCCTCTCCTCCTCCCTCCTCCTCCTCCTCTCCTCATCCTCCTCCTCCTCCTCCCTCTCCTCCTCCTCCTCCTCCTCCTCTCCTCCTCCCTCCTCTTCCTCCTCCCCCCCCTCCCTCCCTCCCCTCCTCCCTCCCACCCTCCGTCCTTCCCTCCTCTCCTCCTCTCCTCCCTCCTCCTCTTCCCTCCCTCTCCTCCCTCCTTCCCTCCCTCCATCCTTCCCCCTCCTCCCCCTCCTCCCTCCCCCCCTCCCTCCTCCTCCCGTCTCCCTCCACCCTCCTCCCTCTCAAGCAATTGCGGTTCAGACGGTGGGGGGGGGGCCCACCGAGGACCACTCGGGCATGGGAGCCGTCCATTCTGGCCACAGCACCCGACACGACCCCAGCGCGCCTCCACGCGGTGCTTGAGGGGCGCCGAGCAAGCCCCACCTGGGGACGCTCTCGGCGGCGAAAGCGAAGGGGATCATGCTGGCTACGGCACCCTGGCACAAAGGGGTCGCGGAGCAAGCGCAGCGGATGCGGGCGTCGTGAATACAACACCACGCTCGAGACCCGCGAAAGGAGATGCATGTGCGGAAGGCAGGTCAAGCTGTACAAGCCCAAGGGCGGCGAGCAGGACGGCACTGCAAATGATCTCGCGGAGTTGCACTCGAAGAGCGGCAAGGCCACCAAGGGCGCAGGCAAGGGCAAGGGCGGCGCTGGCAAAGGGGGCACACAGCCTGACCAAGCTACGCCACCAGCCTCACGCCTGCAGCTGCTACAGCAGACGATCTCCTCCACGTCCGATACTCTCTTGCTGACGCTCCTCCAGGATGAGTTGGCGAAGGTGCAGGCGGCGAGCATGCCGACCCAGAGCCCCGAGGAGGCGCTCAGGCTGGCCTCAGGCGCGTGGCGCGACGCCACCCTGCGCCACGACCAGGCCGTCAACGCGGCGGTCAAGGCGCAGGAGAACCTCACCAGAACTCAGCAGCGAGAGAGGGAGGCAGCATTCGTCCTGGCCAAAGCCGAGCAGGCCAGGAACATCGCGGCGCGGGGTCTGGCTTCCGACATGGGCATCGCCCCTAAGGAGTGCAGATCGATGAGGAATTATTCGAGGTGCAGATCGATGAGGAGTTATTCGCAGGCCCGGAGGGCCTCGACATCGAGCAGCAGGACCGCGAGGCCCTGCAGAAACTAGAGAAGGAGCTCAGGAGCGCGCAGGCCGCGATGGAGGGCAAGCACTCCGAGGTCCAGCACCGGCAGGCTCGCCTGAAGGAGCTGCGCCAGAAGGTCGACGAGCGGCTCGCCAAGAAGAGGCGCGCGGCTGACGAAGGCGCAGCGGCAGGGGCGGCACCAGCGCCAGCAGCGGGGGGGGCCGCGGCAGGCGGCGGCGCTAGCAGCGCGACGGCAGCGACGGGGGCCACCGAGATCCTCGCCCCCGACAGCGGGCCCAGCCAGGAGGCGAAGTTGCACCAGGCGGCCGGCCGCCTCAGCGAGGCCAAGTTGGCAGCGGCAGCGCAAGCGGCGAAGGCGATAGCAGCGGCGAGCGGCGCTTCACCAGCGCCGCCAGCCTCGTCTGCCTGACGGGGGTTGTCTGCGCCACGGACCCCGAAGGCCCATCCACAGGGGCTCGAGGGCCACGCCGGCATCGAGCAGGCGAGCAGGAGCTCCGTGCTGATGACCCCCATGCGACGCAGTTGAAGTGGATGCTGATATGTCACACCAGGCTGCAAGCACCTTCTCGTTCGCCAACATCACCTGCGCGGGAAAGCAAGCATGGAACTACGCTACCTTCCACTCTTACGACTACGCAGGCCTGGTGGGGACGCACGTGGACGACTCGACCATGGCCGACTGGGACAACAAAGCTCGCGCTGCCCACCATCGGCGCCCCGCCAACCCAGCTCGACCTTCAGGGCGCGGCGCCTCGGAGGCGAGCCAGGCGAGGGCCAGCGAGGGGGGAGAGCGGCTCCTGGCGCAGGGCCACCGCAGCGCGAGGAGCCCGGCGGAGTCGTGGGCGCAGCGTTAGATGGCATGCAGGTTTCACTTAGAGATATGATCGGAATTTCCTTTGCTTCGGTCTGCCTCTACGGAGTTGCCAGTGCTTGCCAATGAGGATTGGTCAGGGAGGAACCTGCAGCGGTTTCGTAGGCTCGGGGCGCCCCCTGTCAGTCTCCAGCTTCCATGGGCTGTCTCTGCAGATTGAAACACACCTGTCAGCGTTCCCGGGTCTAGAGGGTATCTCGCCAAAGATGGAGGCCATGCCTTAAGGGCTTCGAATATTGCAGTCAAGTGCACGGCAGGCGCGAAAGAGTCGGAGATATATTATGCCCTGGCTAGCGAGTCTGTTATTCCATAAGTTCTGTATTTTGAGGCTGCGGTCGACGTGCCATGGAAAACACACTGCGGGCTGTTAATGCGTTTCCGAAGGGGCAGCCACTCAGTTACTCACGCGCTCTCTGGATCTGCGTGGCAAGCTGCCTCAGACCCACCGCCCTTCCTCCCCCCGCTCCCCACGGGTCCATGTCTTCCAGTGCAAAGGCCCAACGTCGCGAGGCTCTGGAGGAGGGGAACGCTCGTGTTCGGGAGGAAAACCGTTTGTTGTTTTCGGTGGTGTTCCTGGCGAGTCCGACTTAAGCTTGCAATGAAACCAGCCCGACTCTCAGCATGATTCTAACGCTGATTTTTATCTAGGTGTGGATTTTGGTTCGGGAGCCTGGGATGAAGAGGAGGAGCGTCCGCGGGCTGACGCAGAGAATTTCGGCGCCTGCGAAGGGGCTTCTGTCTCTGGTGCGCACCGCCCTGGAATCAGCAGTGTCGGCGGCGCGGCTGGAGTCAATCACGTTAGTCCTGGATCCCCCCCCCCCCCTCCCCCCCGCCCCCCCCCCCCCCCCCCCCCCAGTCAGTCCTCGAGGGCCCCAACAGGCAGCAATGCGCCCAGCCCCCCGACCCGGGCAGCCACGCCCCGGGAAGTGCCAGCCGCCCCCCCGTGCACGAGCGCCGTGCTGCTCCTGCGCTCGCCCCCCCCCCCCTTTCCTCAGTCCGCCAACATCCTGGCTCGAGCATCGCGCCCAGGTTGGCCTTCTTTCGACCCCATGCCACTGGGGCGTCAATTCTGACCCGCTCGCTCTCGAGGCGGGCGCTACTGACATTCGGCATCTCAGCGGGATGCACGGCGCGCGGGCGACGGCGGCGGAGAGCTGCATCTCGGCACACCGCGGCATTGCCATTTCGTCAGGACGACCTCGTCGCGCTGCTGGGGCGCGACGAGTACACGTGGAGAACTGCAGGGCTCTACCTCTCCACGACGGCTGCAAGCATGGCGGCCTCGGGCACACACGGCGCTGGCCAGGGTCCTGCACCACAGGCGGAAGAACAACGGAGCTCGACAGTGTGCTACGCTCGCAGGGGCCTGCCAGAAGCTGGCCACTGGCTATCCGAGCCAAGCCCACCAGGCGCTGCACGGGACCTGGACATGGGGAGCTCGGCTGGAACACATACGCGACCCCTTCGCACTCTCGATGCATTTGCTGAAAGGCTAAGTAGAGTTGGCCAACAAGGGGGCCAGCAGGCCCCGCGGCAAAGCCCCCCACGCGTCCTTGGATGACTTCCGCCCATGGCACTCGAGCAGGGGTCAATCCACATTCTTCACAAGAGTCTGGAGGCGGAGGAGCTGGAGGCGGTCACGCCCGAGGGGGCGCTGCACCACCCGCGCGACACCATCGATAGCAAGGCCACGAAGTGGCGCGACCTCTGCGGGCGACAGCCGCTGGGCGAGGTCGAGCTGCTGAGGGCCATGGAAGCCACCCAGGAGGCGGCGGCCTTCTTCGGAAGCCCCCCGCCCTCACGGGCGACGCGCCCAAGGCCGCCGCGCGCCAGATGCGGCCGAGAGCGGGGCAGGGAGTGGACAGGTTCTCGCCGCGCCCCCCCGGCGAGAGGCTCGACGAGCTGGCGCGGGCCCCCGCGGCGGCGGAGTCTGGCTCCAGCTGGCCCCGGCAACTTCTCTCGGTTATCGGGCGCTGACTGCCAAGGAGGGCGGCAGGCGACAGATCGATTGGACTGGCGGGCATGACTCCTCGGATATCGCCGATGGCCAGAGAGCCGCTGATCACAGATTGGACAAAGGAGTATCAGCCTCACAGTGACGCAGCAGTGGCGGGGACCTCCCCCTCGAGGGAGGGGTTCTTCTGCATTCTCGGAGACGCAGTACATTCACGTCTAGGTATCTCTGTTGGGCACGGCTTGGCCGACATTAAGAAGTTATGTGGTAGTACATGTTGGTTACGATTGATAAAGACTGCCCTTGCGCTGCCCCCCCCCCCAGTTATTGTCTTCCTAGTATTACAGCTGCGCAGAAGTCCCCGCACTTTGGCCCAGCGGGATTGCTTCTCGGAGGCGTTCCAGTCGAGCCGCGGCGCGCTCCAGGGGCTGCGCAGCGGGACGAGACTCGCGCACTGCATGACCTGCTTCATTTTGGATCGACCCACGGCACCCTACTCCAGAATCAACATGCGACTGCGGGCCGACTCGTCACAACACGCGCTGGGATCACGCAGGCACGCACGCGAGACATTGGTGCAGGCGCTGACCCAGACGAGCGAGGGTTTGCGCGAGCACGGGCTGGATGCGGCGAGCAAGAGCGCCGCGCTGCGCTCCACGCATCAGGACGCCAAGCTCGCGGCAGCGAGCCTGCGGCGCAAGGGGGTCACTATCACGGTGGTCACCCAGGCGCCCCCCCTCGGCCTGGACGCTGGGGCGGGCCTCCACGATGCGTCGCCACATCGCAAGCTTCGCGCGCGCTGCCCGCGGGCACCGCCCCTCGATGAAGCCCGAGGCTGCGGGCGCGCAGCCAGCGGCGCACAACGGTCATCAGGTGCCGGGCGCCTTCGGCGCGGCGACGCTTTGCACGAGGAGACGCCCGGGCCACGCGGCCAGCTCGGCCAAGCGAGGCAAAGGCCTCACCTCGGTCCTGGACCTCAAGCACGCCGACCAGGACCCAGGCCACCGCCCCCCCTGCGATTGCCTGAACTCGTGGCTGCGCAGGTGGTTCGCCAAGTCGCGCCGCAGGAATGGCGCGAAGCAGGCATGGCAAAAGGTGGCGCGGCAGCTCAGGGGCCTCGACCCCTCGCAGCGCAGCGGCCGCGCGCGTGGCCCACTGCCTGCGGTCATAACGTATTTGTTGCAATACACCTGGGACCCAGTCTCGGCCACGGAGCGGGGCACGCTACCGACAGGGTCGGAGGGCAGGGGCGTTCATTCTGGACAGCGACCTGGGCCCAGACACCGATTTCACGGACCTCACTCTTGAGTTCGAAGCCACCATCAAGCGCCAACAATGGGCGCTGGCTTCGACACATGTTTGCGGAGGCGGCCCGCAACAAGGGGCCGACAACAGATCCCTGAGCAACCCTCGCACCCTCGGGCGCGCCCACAAGGGGCACAAGCTTTCCGAGGTGATGCCATGCATTTCTGCTGGGGGCACGTGGCCCAGACAAAGGAACGAGGACGAAGTAGGTGGCCTCGACTCGGTGCTCTGCGCGCGCTGCGGCCTCGACCCCGAAACCACGTTTTCCATCGTTGATGGTCCTGCCCCAAAAACAACGGGGCAATAACCTGTACGACCTCCAAATACCTCTCACCTCAGGCTTATTCGCAGCATGAGACCAGGCCCTGTTTTTGGCCCCGAGGCATGTTGCCAGCGTCGTGGACCGAAGTTCCAGCCCAAGCCGACCAACCGTGCTGGCTGGGCAATGGCTTCGGACCCAACTCACTCAAGGCTCGTTAGGTACGGGCTCCGACATGGCGCCGATTGCAACCTTTGGCGACGCCAACGGGGACCCCGATTCGCGAGGCCCCCGTCTCCGCAGTGTCGGGATCGGCGCCGTGGCCATCTATTCTTTCAGCCCGTGCCGAGTCGACACTCCAATTAGAGGGTCGCGGCCAGGCAGGAGGCAGACTGTCCCGAGAGGCGACTTGCTCGGTCTTGTCATCGCAGCTGAATACAGCGAGGGACCTCTCATTTACGCTACGGACAATGAGGCGGTCATGCGAGGCTGGCATCAGCGGGCCCACGACCGCCCAAGCGGCGATAATGCGGACCTGTGGCACAGACTCGGCAGGTTGCGACCTCGCCGCGACTTGGACACCATCGCGGTGGCGCAGGTACCCTCTCATCAGTCTGCAGCAGACAGCGCGCTCAGGGCTGCCTCAGTGGCTGGCCCTGGGCAATGCTGCCGCAGACGAGCTTGCAGGCCAGGCGGCGCTCGAAGCCCGCCTGCCCCAGCTCTGCC